GAGGCTGTCCGCGAGGCGGAGGAGCCGGATTCTGGCGGACACGCGGTGGCGCCGCAGACCGTAGGCGAGGAGCCGTCCCCCGGAGCAGGGCGCTTACCTGCGGGAGGTGGCGGAGATCCCAATGTGGGGACACCCGTGGGCCGGGAGCGCGCCGGCAGGGAGCCTTCCGAACAAGCCATGGGGGGACCCTGGCCGGAGAGCTGCGGGCCATTGTGTCCTCCCTTGCAGTGTAATCAGGATGAAGAATCCTTGACTCTGCTCATTCCAGTGGCTCGGATCCAGCCGCAAAGTCTTCGAGGGGATTTGAGCCCCAACTGGTACAAATTGTGCTTCTCCACACAAGACCTGGTTTATTCCTTCTTTTTGCAATTTGCTCCGAAGAATAAATTGAGTTCCAAAGAACCCGTGATTAGCATTTCTTCACACAATGCAGTGATAGAACTGGCAAAGTCTCCAGAGAGCCGTGGACGTTGGAGAGAGTGGTATTACGGTTTAAAGGACGATTCTTTAGAGGTAACAGTTTTTAACAGAGCCTCATTATTTGAAATAACCCATCTCACTTTCAAAATGTGCTTTTACGGGCATCCTCTCTGCCCTAAACAAAGCATTTTCCACTATAACTTAACTCAATGAAGTGAAATTGATACAAGTGATGAATGATGTTAGTGTGTTAAATGTATTTAGAAAAAGTGTTGGGTCCCGCGTAGGTGACGTAGGTTCGGGTCCCTGTTCGAAACTCATGGCTTAAAACTCCTGGCCGGTGCGTGCGTGTGCGTGCGTGTGTTTGCGCCTGTCCCCAAGATCCCTAGTGGAGACTGGAGAAGGGACTGCAGCGTGGCTATTAGGGGTGGCGGGCGGGGGGTGATTTCTCACTTTCTTGCTCTTTCTCTCCGAGCACATGTGCCCTAAGGCAAAAAATTCTTGCTCAAAAAAGCTAAAAAAGTGTACATCCATCCTTTCTGGTGGAAGGATTTCAAATTTTCGAAGTTGCGCCTAAAGCAGTTGCTTTCTCCTAGGTCTCTGGAATGTTTGTGAAGGGTGAGGGTGCTTTATTCTGGAGAGAAGAGCAGGAACTTTAGTCATATTCTCAAAGCAATTTGAAGTTACTAAATTACTTTTCCCAAGCTTAGTAGGTAATAATAATGATGATAATATACTTCCGGTGAGGAAAAGTAACAGTTTTTTTTTTTTTTTAATCAATATTAATACGTAGGAAAACAAACTCAGACCCAAGTGTGAACCTAAATCTCATACCTTTTAGTATATGGAGCGGCTTAATTTTAGTCAATTAGGCAGGTTGTCCTCAGCTGGGCACTATGTTACTTTGAAATGACGTGTTTGCTTCTGTTTTAATCATCTTTAGGTCCCTGCTAGTATTTTTTTTTTTTGGAGAGGTTTTCACTATAGGGCGCCTGCGTTCGCCAGACAGAGAGAGACATAGAGACAGAAAGCGAGAAATCACCCCCCAGGGGGGATTGCCACGCTGCAATCCCTTCTCCTCCATTCTCCTCTCGAGATTTTGGGCATGCACGCACACACGCCCGGCGTGAGTTTTAAGCCACCGGGTCGGAACTTGAAAGGCGGTCGACTACGTGTGAGTCCAGCGACATAGCCATTATGCTAACTGCTGGTTCCCTTTTTTTTTTTTTTTAGAATTATTTTATTTAACTTTATTTATTTATATATTTTTAAATTTTAATTTGACCAGAGAGAGAGAGAGAAAGGGAGAAAGCAAGCCACTAGGTTCAGGACTCGAACAGTAGTCGCCCATGTGGGAGTCCAGTGCCTTTAGCCACCATGCTATCTGTCAGCCCCCCTGCTAGTATTTTTAGCAGGATGACTGACATTTAACAAAGTGTACTACTATTTGTTGAACTAAACAGCACCTACATTAACTGCACCTCACTGGGGAAATACTTGAGAACTAGACAGACCATTATCTAGTTTAGGGTAAAAATTTGATGAGTGGGCCAGCGCTTGGCTGGAGGTTCAGGTAGCTGGATCCCACATGGCCAACTGTACCCATGGAATCCCGGACCTGGCTGCTTCAGAATCACCCCTGGCAGGGTACATGTGCAGAAAAGGAGAGAGAAATGGAAGAGAAGAGATCGCACCGTGACCATTTCCCAAGGTGGGGGCTGGGGAGTGTGCTTGCCCATTTCCCCTCTCCCCTCTTTCTGTCTCTCAGGTGAGCACACATTCTCTGGCAGGAAAAAAAAAAAAAATTTAAAAATTGGATGAGTAATTTAGTATGTCCTATCCTGCTATAGTTTTTAGGTTACCATGGTTCTTGAATTTCTGATTTAATACTCCACTATTATCGACAATATTGAAAAACTTACATTTTGAAGTTCTGCAGATCTTTAAATTCATAAATGAACTGTTGGTGGCTCTGGTTGAGATTTGCATCAATGTTACATACAGTTTTTTTGTCTTTTAATGTATTCAAGAGCCAAGTTCCCAGAAACAACACTAATTGCATGGATTATACATTAAAAATTAAGGGTTTGGGAAATAGCATTTGGCGTAATGGCTATGTTGCTGGACTCCCCTGTAGTCGACTGTGGTTCGAGCCCTGGACCTGGTGGCTTAAACTCACACTGATTGTGTGTGCATGCGCGCCCAAGATCTACAGAGGAGAATAGAGGAGAAGGGACTGCGGCCTGGCCATCCCCTCCTGGGGGGTGATTTCTCACTTTCTGTCTCTCTGTCTTTTCTTTCTGGTGAGTGCATGTGCCCAACAGCAAAAACCTCTCAAAAAAAAAAGAGTTTGATCTTGGGCTTTAATGGACCAGAAATGTCCTCTCTCCTTGTTGTTTCTCTAGAAATTTGTTAATAAGTTACTTCTGTACTTCATAGGTTAGCTATCTGTGAGAAGTGGTTATTTTAAAACCCTCCAAAATGGTAAGATAATAGATATGATAGATAAGATTTTTTTAAGAGAGGTTTTTGCTATAGGGCACATGTGTTTGCCAGAAAGACAGAAAATGAGAAGTTACCCCTCCCCTCCCTGAGGGAGATGGCCATCTTCTCCATTCTCCTGTCCAGATTTTGGCATGCAAGCACAGGGGCCTGGTGCAAGTTTTAAGCCACCAGATCCGGGACTCTAACTGTGGCTGACTATGTGGGAGTCCAGCAGTGTAACCATTACACAATCTGCTGGTCTCTAGATAACATATTTTATGAGACAATAAGACATGAAATTGAATATCTGTTATGTCATTCAAAAGGGGAACGTTTAGGAAAGGGCGGTCATTTTCCTGTATGTTTTAATAAATATGAAAATAATGATGGGGAAGAAAACTTTGTAGACAGTTAAGAGAAATTCAAGAATGTATTTTAATCTGATTTTCTAGTATGTTATCTAATATTTTAGCAAAGAAACTAGAGCAATTTCATTTTATATCTTTGAACCTTAAATAGATTTATAATTACTACATTAATTATCACATTTTCTAAGGAGGATGGAACCATAATGTCCAATTATTTTCTTCTAGACTAGACTCTTTGCGTATTAAAGAAAAAATTGAGTAATGAGACATATAACATGTAGTGGTTATATTTTTATAGGTATTATGTGAAAATAATCATAATGTGGGGCCGGCAGGTTGGCGTGGTGGTTGAGGTTGCTGGACTGACTCCACATGGCCAACCATGGTTTGAGTCTCAGACCTGGTGGCTTGCTTTCTCACTCACTCTCATTCTTTCTCTCTCTAGTCAAATTTAAATAAATAATTAAAGTTAAAATAAAATAATTCTTTTTTAAAAAAGAAAATAATCATAATGTAAAGAGACGGTTTTGTGGTTCTCAAGATGAAAAATTGTTACTTTATAGGTAAACAAATACTAAATACATTTATCTAAGTCTTAAGTATTTGCTGGGAATTTTCCTAGGACTTAAGGTCACTGAATTTAGTACCTTTTATAGTAATCAGTCATCAGAATAAGAAGGCAAATTTATTGGGACCAGCAGTTGGCATAATGACTATGTCGCTGGACTCCCACGTAGTTGCCTGCGGTTCGAGTCCTGAACCCAGTGGTTTAAACTCATGCCAGGCGCGTGTATGTGCGTGCCCAAGATCCCGAGAGGAGAATGGAGAAAAAGGGGTTGCAGTGTGGCCATTCCCCCTGAGAGGAGCGGGGGTGCTTTCTTGCTTTCTGTCTCTCTCTGTCTTTCTGGTGAGCGCTCATGCGTCTTATAGCAAAAACCTCTCAAAGAAAAAAAAAAACGAAGGTAAATTTATCTTTTATGTTTTAATCCTAACCATTTCTATTATATCTTCCTTGAATTAACTAAAAATTAAAATATTTGGTGTATTTTTTGTAATGAGGCAAAGATGAATGTATTTTCTCTCTCTTTTTTTTTTTTTTTGGAGAGGTTTTTGCTATAGGGCATGAGCGCTCGCCAGAAAGACAGAGACAGACAGAGAGACAGAAAACAAAAAATCACCCCTCCAGGGGGATGGCCATGCCGCAATCCCTTCTCCAGCCTCCTCTCGGGATCTTGGGCCGCATGCACAAGCGCCCGGTGTGAGTTTAAGCCACCGGGTCCGGGACGCAAACATAACCATTATACTACCTGCTGGTCCCAGATGAATGTATTTTCCAGAGGCATGAATGATAGTAATGCTTTTTCCTTTTTTTTTAAGCTTTGTTTATTTAAACTTGACCCAGAAGGACAGAGTGAGAGAAATAGAGGGAAAATGAGAAAGCCAGCCGCCAGGTCCAGGACTCAAACCTTAGTTGGCCATGTGGGAATCCAGTGCTCTTAACCACCATGTCACCTGCTGGCTCCAGTGCTTTTTTGCTTTAAGAATTATTTATGTGTTATTATTTTAAATTTTGCTGTAGTGCTTTTGAAGGGACCGTTCCTATAATACAGTGTTTTTCTGGATTTTTAAATAATAGCATGTTGGGACCAGCGTGTGTTGTGGTGGTTAAGGCACTGCACACTCCGACATGGCCAACCATGGTTCAAGTCCTGGACCTGGTGGCTTGCTTTCTTACTTTCCCTCTCATCTCTCTCTCTCTGTGTCTCTCTCTGGTCAAATTAAAATAAATGAACAAGTAAGATTAAATAAATTATTCTTTTAAAAAAATAAATAATAGCAAGTGAAGTTATTCTAAATGTAAAATGTTGTGGTTCCCAAGGTTCACTTTTGTGTGATAGATATTCACAAGTTTAAATATTGCTACATACGGAGTTATCAAAATAACCAGCAATTGGCGTAATGGTTACAGCTGGACTCCCATGTAGTCAACTACATGTGGTGCCAAGCACATACGTGTGTGTGTGTGTGTGTGTGCGCGCGCGCCCAAAGTCCCAACAGGAGACTGGAGGAGAAGGGATTGTGGTGTGGCCATCGCCCCGAGGAGTGATTTATCACTTTCTGTCTCTCTGGTGAGTCTACATCCCTTATAGGAAAAATCTCTTTAAAACTATTAATAAATACTGTTAAATAGAACAGAACTTGAAACTTAGCTTTTTTTTTTTTTTTTTTTTTTAAGCTTTCCACCCCCTATAGGATGCATGTGTTCACTGGAGAGAGAGACAGAAGGAAAGTGAGAAATCACCCCACAGGGAGATGGCCACACTGCAATCCCTTGTCCTTTATTCTCCTCTCAAGATTTTGTGCCTGCACACACACCCAGCATGATTTTTAAGCCCACCAGGTCCAAGATGCAAACCGCAATCTGCTATGTGAGAGTCTAGCGCTTAGCTACTGTGCTACATGCTAGCCCTGAAATTCACCTCTTCCTCAACTGCCCCCACCTCACCCTATTGTGAACAAAATAATGAGCTGTGTTTATTTTATAATTATAACATTTGTTTACATAAAAGTATAATGAAAATTAAAATGAACTGACTTTATGCATTAAGTAATTTAAAATACGGTTAATATGTTTATTGCTCCCACATTTGAAATGAATGTGAGCAAAATAATTTTTATGTTTAAGATTCAGGCACAAGAGTGACTTTTGCCTTTTCTAGTCTCAGTGTCTTGAAATCAAACTCATTATAATAACTATATACTATCGATAACATCACACTGGAGTATCTCAATGTTTAACAGTAGAGTACACTGCTTTTAAAAATAAAATATTATTATTGACACTTATCTGGCCAAGAACTAAAAGTTAAACAGAGCACAGGCCAGTGTGAACAGATTCCGTCATTTATATTTCTTAACTCTAAAAATGAATTATATTTTACAGCTGGAACTGCATTGATAGCCCTAGGGATGCTGTTATTCTTGGCACATTAAGAAAGAAAAAAAAAAGAAAAAAGGAAAGAAATATCATTTATAAATAATATCAGGGAAAAGAAACCCACTTCAGATTTAATAGATGTAGGAAAAATGCCAAGACCTTTTGCTTTTAGTATGTATGCATGTATGTATATATTATTGGTACAATTCTTAGTGCTTTATGTAATACTAAATTCTCCTTTTCCAAGACAGCATATGGGGATAACAGTAAACATTTTAAAAAGGGTAACCCTAAACTGTGAGACTCTCTGTGAGCTACTCTTAGAAACTACTGTGCAAAGTGTGACCTATAGGCAGAATATTATTTTTTCCTTTTTATTTTTATTTTATTTTAGGAAAGGTTGTTTGTCACGGAAGAAAATGTTAATGAGTTTCTTGACGAGGTCCTGAGCTCTCCATGCAAACAGACAGTTTCCCTAATGCCACCATTAATTGAAGTTCTTCCAGTTACTGATAATAAAATTCAAATTCATGCAAAGGTAAGGGTTTTGGTGAGTTCTTTAAGAGGGATTAAGGACAGGGTTAAAGCCTAACCATCTCAAGACAGATTTTTGATATAGACTGTGTGTACTTACCAGAGAGACAGAGAGAAAGTGAGAAATCACCTCCCAGGAAGGATTGCCATACCACACCTTCTCCTCTCTGGACTTTGGACATGCATGTACATGTGCCTGGGGTACAGGATTTGAATTGCAGTCAGCCATGTGGGAGTCCAGCATCTGAACCATATGCCACCTATGGTCCCAAAATTCTTAATTTCTTAATATCAAACTTTAAACGAGTGTACATAATGGCTGGACAATGATGTTAAGATTGGTGTATGTGTTAGTTTGCGGTAGGGCATGTGTGTTCCCTAGAGAGAGAGATAGAGAGGGCAAGAAACAAAGCACCTCCCTGGATAAATGACCATGCCACTGGATCCCACATGACTGACTTTAAGGTTCGAGTCTCAGAACTGGAGACTTAAGGATAACCCCAAGCCTGTGTGTGTATGCGCCCAAAATCCCAAGAAGAGAATGGAGAAGGGACTGTAGTGTGGCCATCCCCCTGGGGGTGTTTTTACTTCATCTGACAAGCACACGCACCTTATAGCAAGAACTTAAAACAAAAATTTGGGTTATTTTATACTAAAGGTAATGAGGAGTCCTTGAAATGTTTTCATTAGAAAATTAGTGCCAGGTTTGCATTGCTTATATTGTTAAAAAAAAAAATAACTAGCATATTCAGGCATTTGGAAGATGGCCTTAAGGGAAAAAGCCTGGAAGCATATCCGCAGGTTCATAACAGTTTTTTGGTTTTTTTTTTTTTTTTTTTGGTTTTAAGTTTTTATACATGATAGTGAGTGAGTGAGTGAGTATACAAGCACAAGAGAGAAGCACCCTCAATAAGCTCTTGTCATTTCCCTTTTTGCAGCAGGATCTTAGGTACATGCTGTTTCTGGTTCCCCTGGCCAGGGATTTGATCTCAGTCAGCAGTATGGTTTCTAGCCACTACAGTTTGATACATTGAAGGTGCTACTGGGCTGGGCTCTGCAAGGGTTACTACCTTGCAACTTTAAAACAAATTTTATTTCCAGAGGGTATATAATGTAATCTTCTGTCCTTTCAAAGTATTGTTAATTTGCTGTTTCTTTTGACACAGTTGCAAGAATGTAGTAACTCTGACCAGCTTCAAGGAAAGGAAGAAAGGGTCAATGAAGGAAGTCATCTAACTGAAAAAGAAAATACAGAACATCTTCCCACCTCTACAACCAATTCCGATTCATCTGAAACAGCTAAAGGACTAGAAAGAGATAATGGTTTAGCTTCATATTTTCAACAAGAGTCTCTTGATGTTTCTCAAGTGCTATTTGAAAAGTCACAGCAATCTGAAAAAATGGAAACCGAATTTATAAAAGAAAGTACTACTTGCACAAATGAGGAAAAAGATCCTTTAAAAGAACCAGCAATAATTAAAGAGAAAAAAGAATTACATGGAGATCACATATCTTCATTACTGAACAAAACTACAGTTCACAATATACCTGATTTTGACAGCATAAAAGAAACCAATCTGCAGGATGGGAGTGTGCAGATTATTAAAGATCATGTGACTCAGTGTGCATTCAGTTTTCAGAATTCTTTGCTATATGATTTAGATTAATTCTATGTAATTTTGAAATGTGACCATAAGAGTAAAATTTAGAACCTAAAGGAGTTTCTGTTAACCATATTCTTGTGTGTGTATTTAGCAATGTATAAAACTAAAGTATGCAATTTTGTGCAATTTCCCTAATTCTTAATGGAGAAACTGGAAATTTTTTTGTCTCTAGAATTTAAGCCAACTTTCCTTAATTATGCAGATAAGTTTTGTGATTCCTCTGATCGATGTGTTTTTCTAATGGAGAATTAAATATTTAGATTTAAATACAATCTGTATATATTTGTGAGATTTGCTTCTTTTGTTTACCAGTATTTTAATAAAGTTTCAGAATGTTATATTGTCACAAATTCTCAACAATGCAGTTCATTGGAAATATGAGTGTCTGAGGGGGCAGAGTATCAAAATTATTTGTAAGTTTCACAAACTAGGATGTGTGTTTCTAAAGCTTGCTAGAGGGAAAAGAACTTTATTAACCAATAATAAACATCTAAATAATTGCAATACAGGGAGCAGCAGTAAGCATAATGGCTATGTCACTGGATTCCCATGTAGTTGACCGCGGTTCGAGTCCCAGACCCGGTGGCTTAAACTCACACCGGGCGCGTGTGCGTGCATGCCCAAAATCCCGAGAGGAGAATGGAGAAGGGATTGCGGTGTGGCCAATTTCTCACTTTCTGTCTCTCTGTCTCTGTCTATCTGGCAAGCACACACACCGTATAGCAAAAAACCTCTCAAAAAAAAAAATTGCAATACAAATACATGGAATAAAATTTAGTATTTTTTTTTTTGAGAGTTTTTTGCTATAGGGCATGTGCGCTCTTCAGAAAGTCAGAGAGGGGGCCAGCAGTTAGCATAATGGCTATGTCGCTGGACTCCCACGTAGTCGACTGGGGTTCGGGTCCCAGACCCGGTGGCTTAAAACTCACACGGGGCACGTGTGTGCGTGCCCAAGATCCTGAGAAGAGAATGGAGGAGCAGGGATTGCGGGGTGACCATCCACCCCTGGGGGGTGATTTCTCACTTTCTGTCTCTATGTCTCTCTCTGTCTGTCTGGCGAGCGCACATGCCCTATAGCGAAAACCTCTCCAAAAAAAAAAAAAAAAAAAAAAAAAAAAGCAGAAAGACAGAAAGCGAGAAATCACCCTCCAGAGGGGATGGCCATGCCACAATCCTTTCTCCATTCTCCTCTCGGGATCTTGGGCATGCACACACACATGCCCAGCGTGAGTTTAAGCCACCAAGTCTGGGACTCGAACTGTGGTCGACTGCATGGGAGTCCAGCGACACAGCCATTATGCTAACTGCTGGTCCCAAATTTAGTATTTTTACATCATTTTATAGGCTTTTTGTCATAGAAACTATATGTGTAATAGAGATTAACAATGATTTTGAAAATTGTATTTTTTTCTCTAGACATTTTTAAAATATTTTCCATGAGTTAGTGGAGAGACAAACAGCACCCCCAGTGGACACTGAGACCCACCCCACGCAGCCTTTAGCCAGGTTTGGCTCATGGGCATGTGTATGCCAGGTATACTCAGGGAGGTCTCCGGACTTAACTGGGACTGGTCCCATGAGGGACCACCTCACGCAGCATTGAGTTTTCCCACTGTGCCACTATATGGCCCTCAAAATTAAATTTTTAATAAGGATTTCTTCAAAGTTATTCTTGAAATATTAAAACATCTTTTACTTTTATATAGTACATCAATTTTTTTTTTTTAAACAGGGACTTTGGGTCAGCTCTTTGTCCTGGTGGTTAAGGTAGCTGGATCCCACACAGCTGACTGTGTGATTTGAATTCCATACCTGGTGGTTTGTAAAACATGCTAGCAGGCCACCAAGTGGTGTGGTGGTTAAGACAGCTGGATCCCAAATAGCCAATTGCATGTTCAAGTCCTAGACCCTGATGCTTGGAAAAAAAAAAACAGTAGATATGTGTGCATGCATACCCGAAGTCTTGAGAAGAGAATGGAAAATGCATTTCCATATGGCCATCTCCTCAGGAGGTGATTTCTCACTTTTCCTCAGTCTCTCTCCGCACATGTCCTGTAGTTAAAAAAGGCAAGGTGCGTGTACACGTGTGCCCCAAATCCCAAAAGGGCAAGATAGAGGAAAAGGAACTTTGGCATGGCTATCCTCTATGGAGATATTTTCTCCTCTCTCTCTGTTTTTCTCTGGCATGCATGTGTCCTCTGGCAAAAACTAAAACAAAGTAGGAATTAAAAAAATCTGCTAATTTGCTCTGATAGGAAAATTGTCTTTCAGTGTTAGAATTGCCGGAAAACTCACAACACATTTTTTGCACAGAAACAGAGTATGTCATGACTTTCCTGACAACCTAAGATTATATGAAAAAAAAGTTAGTGCTTCTAATCCCTTTCGAACACAAGAAGAAACAAGAAGAAATCATAACAGGCTTTTCTAACAAAAAATTTTAGGACATCATGAAAGTAGATGTTGAAAGTAAAATATTTGTTTAGTCACAAACTCCAAGGCCATGAGCAGATCTTCTGTTTGCTTGAAAACTGGCTAATTCAGACTCTGCTCTTAGTTCAGTCCTGGAGGTCACCTAATTTGTTTAGTTCTTTGAAATGGTGGTGTCAGGTCAGAATACCAAAAATGGGTAGCTGATTCATCCTGACTTATCTTTAATAACCTCCAGATAAAATCTTGCACTGTACTTACTTGCACTGTGCAGGTAAGTACAAAGATAGTCCATAAAGCAAGAGTACGATTTGCCTTCTCTTAGATGAGCATTATGCATTTTTCCAATCACTATGAATCTTAAATTGATGCATTAAAAATTTTGAGACTGAGTGTTAATGGAGAAACATGGCCAACCTCACAGGTGGTCCCAGATGCAGTAGTTTGAAAAACATGTTGGAGGGACCAGCAGTTAGTGTAATGGCTATGTTGCTGGACTCCCATGTAGTCAACTGCGGTTCACGTCTCGGACCTGGTGGCTTAAAACTCACATCAGGCACATGTGCGTGCGTGCCCAAGATCCTGAGAGGAGAATGGAGGAGAAGGGATTGCGGCACCATCCCCCCTAGGGGGTGATTTCTCGCTTTCTATCTCTCTGTCTCTGTCTGTCTGTCTGGCGAGGGCACGCACCCTATAGCAAAAACCTCTCAAAAAAAAAAAAAAAAAAAACATGTTGGACACGTGCATGTGTGCCCTACTGAGCAATTAAAGTGTTTTTGTTTGTTTGTTTTTAAATATTGAGACTGTCCAGTTGATGGATTTCTTAAGTCAAAGTTACTGATTGTAATGTGTCTACACAGAAATTAGTCTTTTATGAGTAATTTTTGTTTGAATGCAATTATATATTAAGGGAAACAAACATTACATATGGAGTAAATTTTAAGCCTATTTATTACTGTATTCTGTCCTTTTAAAAAATATTATTTCAGTTAAGGCTGGCACTAGAATGTTTCATTTGGCACAGCTGAACTTTGTATCATTTTTGGCTTTCAAAAACAGTTTAGCCTGTTATTTCCCTTACACAGCAGCTTTTTATTGTTCATTATCTATGCTTGGCTAATTTGAAAGCCAAACAGTTTCTTCCAAAGGGAATGCATTGTCATCAGCTGGATTTTATTTCAAACTCAATTATACAATGTACAGATAGTAAATATTAAGATGTAATACTAACTTTCATTGAATATTTGTGTAAAGTGTAAACAAAACTTACTTTGCAAAATGATTAGAAACATTTTGTGCAAAATGAGTTTTATTTTGGCAGCACTAAAGGAAAAAAAAAAAAACCAAAACCACATTATCTCTACATTGAGGTGAAAACAATGTTTAAACTTTCTTATCAATCAAATACATTCCAAAAGAAAGTGTGTTCTATGAATTTCCAAAGCACAGGCAAATCTTAACACAATAGTACAGGAATCCATAATACTGAAAATGACCAATCTGACAGGGTGTTTTAACGAACGTAACTTCTGCATTATTAAACCAGTGAAGCAATCCTTTCCTAGTAACTGTGTCAAGAGTGAAACCAGTCTCGTTCCATTAATACTCCAACAATGGCAATGTAATACTTTTTACTGCTATGACAGTTTTAAATAAATTTTGCTGTACTTAAAATAAGTTTTGAAAGTGGAAAAGTGTACAAAGTTTCAGATAAAAAGATTAATAGATGCAATTTAAATAAAATTTCCCCTCATATCAGTTAACAATAATCATTACCTTTAGCAGATATAGATTGAGCTTTAAAACTCAACTCCCAAAATGAAAACTTTAGTTTTAAATCTTAATCAGACGTAACTGGAAAAGTTTACTATATATTTGGACAAGTCTTACAAGAATGTTTTTCTTTTCATATTAAAGCAGAAACCAGTTCCTAAACTCTTTTATTCAATTGTATATTCTGTTTGGACAAATATCAAAAATAGAAGACTGTCACTTTTGCTTTTCTAATTGTGATTTTTTTCACTGCAGTCTTCTATAACTTTTACAGAGTTCATGGTCTCTAATATCTCCCCACCCTCCATTTTTCCTAGGTGGGGAAATGGCTGCCATAGTAAACTTTTCATTGATAATCAGAGTTTCTGGAAACATGTACTGTTTGTTATTATTTAAGAGTGACTCAATTTGGGCACTCTGAGTGGACGGCCTACAGGTTTTCTTGTGATGCATACCACAGTCTCCAGCATGAAAAATTCTAGGAACTTGAGGAACCATCACTTTCCAGAATTTTGGAAGACAAGATACAGTCAAATATTGAAGAGTCCAGTCCCAATTATAATCATCGTAAGTGCAGAAAGTGTCTGTGCACTGGATCAGCTTCTGATAGGCATCCCGGGTCAAGGCTAGGCCCATATTGTGCTCTGTGGATTTCCAAGGTTTTACATCTACCTTGTCAGCGATGCCATGGAAACTGCGACTGGGAGTGTAGGTCCCCAGGGAGAGGACATCACACTCAGGACACTTTTGCTGCTTCAATTTCCACATCTTTTTGAAGACATGGTAAAAGTCAGGGGCTAAGTAATGATCCTCTTCTAGGAAAAGTATAAGGCCAGCATAATCCCGAAGGACTTTAACCCTCTCCCACACGAAATGCAGCTTCCACCACCAATGATGCTTGGTTTGGGAGAACTTGGCCTCTCTGTAATGACCGAAGGAGTCCGGATACTCGGCATTAATGCACCCCAATTTCAAAGCTGCATTCTTCTGCAGGTCTCTTGGGCAATCTCTGGGGTCACTGCCCGGAAACTCGTTGGGGTACAATTGAATGCTGAAAGGAAAGAACACCTGCAGAACCGGACAGAAATCCACCCCAGCGATCATCTGATTGATCTCTGTTGACCAAAAGTCGTGGCTAAAGATAACGAGGACGTTGTCAATGCCCTGGGCTTTTCGAAGTGAGTCCAGCAGCAGTCTGAGGTATTCAGGCCGGTTATGCACCTGGACCACCAGCACCAGCTCCCCAGGGGCCCAGGTGCCAGCCTTATCTACATTCCTCAACGTCTGATCAAAGTTCAGCTGGTACACCAGGGACCGGTACCGCAGCGTCAGGTTGTCCGCCTCCGGCTGGGGGATCGCTGGGACCAGTGGAGCCGCGGACTCGTTGGCGACCCTGCGGATGCCCACAGACACGGCGGGATGGTCTCCGCCCCGGCCGCCCGCACCTCGCGCGGGCTCAGCGTCCAGCAGCGGAGGGGCGAGGGCCTCGTTCTTCCTTTGTCGCCCATTGCTGCTCCAGAGGACGAAGCCGCAGGCGGCCACAACGAGCGTCAGGATTAGCACCTTCCGTTTGTAGATGCGGAACCTCATGGTCTCCAGAGCAGGGAGCGCAGGCACTGAGTGGAGCTAGCGGCTTCTGCACGGAAGGGGCGGGCGGGCGGCGGCCGTCGCCTTGGCCTGCAGCGGTAGGAACTGGCCCCCGCGGCTGCCCTCGTTAACTCATCTCGTGCCCCGGAGGTCCTGGGGCCCGACGGCTCTCAGCTGCC